GGCCCCTTTCGTAACGAATGTCCTCGGAGGCCTCCATGTCGTCGTTAAGCATCGCCGTCGAAAGCCCCTCCTGAAGGGACGAATCTTAAACAACCAAAGTATCAGCCTATTTACATCCGTAGTCTCTCAAAGACATACCAACTGAGCACAACACCTCCCGAAAAGCCATCTCGATGCCAACGTTATAATCCAAATAGTGCAGATACCGGTCAGGGCTGTGGTCACGGTGGTAGCTATCCGAGAGGCACCATGGGCAGACCTTTTCCACCCGCTCATGGAAATCCACCATGCCAGCCATGCCTAGAAATGCTTTATTTCATCTGAATCACTGAAAGCTGAAGTTCGCTCCGAAGTCGCTTCTTATGAACCCTGCATGAACATGAGGGCCTGACATCTCTGAGCCAGCACGCTGTTTTGTTAGAAGCACGTTCGCCCAGCCAGCATGCAAATCGAAAGCTCTGATTTATGGTAGTTGCTTATGACCTGGAACCCTAAACCCTAAACACTAAACCTTGCACTGAGCCGGAAGCCCAGAAGCTTGAACCAAAGTATATAATATAGGGGCCTTAATCATTAGAATAGGGTTTTGGGGTCCTTTAGGGTTTTGGGTTTAGGGTTTTGGGTTTAGGGTTTATCGAATAATTACACTAAGGAACCCCCAAAATGATATAGGTAGGTATTAGGGCCCCTATATTAAGGTTTGGTCGAAGGCTTTGCCTTGCGGTCTAGGGTTGTGTTAATTCCGGGGCTGTGCAGAGTAACATGTAATGTTGTGGGGTCTTCCAGTGCGCGGGCCGGGAAAGCCCGTAATCCTGCGCAGCAAAAAAAGCATGTAGGGAACACCCTAAACATGAAACCCAGAGTGCTGGCTCTGGCAATACCCTCAGATTCCGTACAGCGCCTAGTTTTCGAGGTCGCAAAGCCACAACTCCTCAAGTTCAAAATCCCTGAACCACTATGCCCCTGGACGGACCGTCCCAACAGAAATAGGGCACCCTGATGTGGGTCCAAACGAATTGAAACTTGTTTTGACCAGGCCCGTGTCTTCAGGCGTCCCTGACTTAAGAAACCCTAAACCCGAAACCGAGAACAACTTCGCAATCCCGAAAACGGCCACACATACACACACAGACACACACACACACACACCGTTTTATATACACTGAGGTATAAGTTTCAGAGCCCCTAAACCCTAACCCTAAACCCTAAACCCCTAAACCCTAAACCCCTAAATCCTAAACTCCGTAACCCTAAACCCTAAACCCTAAAGCCTCACAACCTAAGCAGGGAACCCCAAACTTGGTTTGGGGTTTCGGGTTTAGGGTTTAGCGTTTAGAGATTAGGATTTAGCGTTTAGGGGTTAGGGTTTAGGGTTTAGGGTTTAGGGTTTAGGGTTTAGGGATAAGGCTTTAGGGTTTAGCAAAGAATCAAGCCGCTGTGGAGGTTCCTTTGGCCGATCACAGTGTTCTTCTTGTCCTTGGTCTCGCTGACGGCCGGGCTTCTCAGAAGTCTGTTGTAGGCTTTAGGGCGTGGGGTCAATACAGAAGCCTGAAACAGTGCGAATGTTATTCCTCATGGTCCCGTACCATAACTAGACTAAACGAAACCCTAAAACCTAAGCCCTAAACCCAAAACCGTAATCCCGTAATGAATGCCCCTGCAGTAGGCCTCTAGGGTTGAGGGTCTCGGGCTGCAGGGTGGAGTCTAGGGTGTACCTGGACCCTAAAGAACCTATTTGTGCTTAAGAGTTCCTTATATAAGTCCCTAGAAAGGTAGGTTATTTGGGGTTAAGGTAGGGCTTAGGGGTTTAGGGTTTAGGGTTCAGGGGTTTAGGGTTTTGGGTTTCACCCCAAACCCTAAACCCCTAAACCCTCAATGGGGTTCTGGGTTTCAGTCTAAACCCTAGAACCCTAGACCCTAAACCCTTAAACCCAAACCCTAAACCCTAAACCCTAACCTCTAAACCCTAAGACCCTGAGACCCTAAACCCTGAGCCGGCTTTGGGATGGAAGTAGTTGTTTGGCTTTGTGACCCGCTGTCGCCACCAGCGCTACTCTGAGCGCACCGTGGATTGGACAACCCTTTAACTCCAAGTACCGCAGTTTAGGGTTGAGGGGTTTAGGGGTTTGGGGTTTAGGGTTTAGGGTTTAGGGTTTAGGGTTTAGGGTTTAGGGTTTAGGGGTTTAGGGGTTTAAGGTTTAGTTAGGGTTCAACCCTGTAAAGATCACTTTGAAAGGTGATGTACATGCTCGTTGGAGTACTCGTGGAGGTGGTCCACGCCTCTTGTCTGCAGGGAGGAAGCATGCAAAGTTCTGCGGTTTAGCGTTTAGGAGTTTAGGGTTTAGGGTTTCTGACTCTAGGGCTCTACACCCTAGTCGCCGGCAGGGCTCTTTATGTTGCCCTAAACCCTAAACCCTAAATCCTAAACTTTATGTTGTCTCAAAAAAGCTTTCTGCCTTACCGGGAAGGGAGTCTGGGGCCGAAACACCCAGACTTTCCAACATCCCTCAATTAAGGAGGAACAGCTTGAATTGGGTTTAGGGTTTAGGGTTTAGGGTCCCTAATATCCAATACCCTTCAATTAAGGATGATGCTTTAAGTCACAGTAGGACCCCTAAACCCTAAACCCTAAACCCTAAACCCTAAACCCTAATGGTTTAAGGTATATCCTTTAATACAGGGGTAGTGGAAGGTCTGGGGGCGCGATAGTTGGGGTTTAGGGTTTAAGGTTTAGGGTTGGGGGCTTTGAGTCTAGGATAGTAGGGTTGCGGGTTTAGGGTTTAGGGTTTAGGGTTCAGGGTTTAGGGTTTAGGGTTAAGGTAGTATAGCACTGTAAGGTAGGATACTAGTAGCAGATGGAGAGCATATGGTAGGGTTATGAACGATCCTTGGGTTAGGGCTTTAATAGGGTTTCGGGTTTAGGGGTTTAGGGGTTTAGGGTGTAGGGTTCACGGTTTAGGGTTTAGGTCTGCGATAGGTTGTTGTTCAGGGTGTTCGCTGGTGGAGGTTGCTCTGCAGGTTTCTTGAAGTTTTGAACAGGGTTTTTAATGGCGCCGGGTTTATGTACAGGAATGTAGAGTAGAGGCTATCCCCTAGTTCCATTCAAGAGGATCCGACTACTTGGGGCTTTTGATTCAAGGTTCAATCTTTGGGGGGTCCAATTTGCCGTGGGTTTTGGGTGTCGTAAGGTGGTATCTGCAGGTGCGTGCCAGAGAGGAGCAAGGGACTCTTCCAATTGTGTTGCAAGTCTTAAAGTGCGCTCTCCACGCACAACCGGATTTGTATAGGCCCTGGTCTTGCGGCGCTTAGTAAAGTACGAGGCAAAAACACTTTAGAGTAGTTGTGGCATGTGTACTGCCTCCAAGTTTGAGGTTGGTCTAGGTAGGGTTTCGTGAGGCCAAACACGGTTTGCGAGGACTTGCAAACGTCTGTGTTCCTAAGCCCTTGAAGCTTCCGAGGCACGTGGAAACTGAAAATGTCTATTCGGGGGAGAATTGGTATCTATGTGTACATACCCTAGACACTAATTAGCCTAATTCCATCCCCTCAACCCTAAATCCCAAACACCTATACTTGGAGGGTCAGGGGACTGAGCAAGTAGTTATTGTAAAGACTTATAGGTATCATAACCCCAATTAGAGTCCGTTTTGGGTGACTTTATAAGTCTACTTACTACCTACTTACTAAGTCCCCCGACCCTCCAAGTATAGTCCCTGAAGCGCAAGCAACGCTCAACTGCAGGTGGTGTCCTCCGTGGAGAAAGACAGCTTGGCGGCCTCCTGTTTGTATATGGCCTTGAGTAAAGGAATTTTTGGGCTTGGGGGGTTTAGGGTTTAGGATCTAGTGTTTGGGGTTGAGGGCTTAGGGTTCAGGGGGCAACTAATTCGCATGTTCCCAAGATCTGAGTACGGAAGTGCAACTACTGTTAATGATAGAAATCCTGCATTATCTAAACACCCCCTCAGAACCCTACAGAAACTCTGTTACTCTGTTCTTGGAAATGCCGGGTTTGGGGAGTTTCATGCGCTTGAATTCACATGCAGCCCTAAACCCTACACCTAAACCCTAAACCCTAAACCCTAAACCCTAAACCCTAAACCCTAAACCCCACCGAACCTCAAACCCGAGACACTGAATTGGGCTTTGGGTTTGCTATGTCCCGAAAGGGCCGGTGGCCTTGAGAAGACTGATCCCCAATGGCTCTTTCAAGGGTTTAGGGTTGAGGGTTTAGGGTTTAGGGTCTAGGGCTTACAGGGTTTCGGGTTTGGGTTTATCGGGTAGTAGGGTTTAGGGTTGAGGGTCTAGGGCTGACAGGGTTTAGGGTTTATAGGGCAGTAGGGTATAAAACGGCGAGGGTTTAGGGTTTAGGGTTTATAGGGTTGAGGGTTTAGGGTTTAGGGTCTAGGGCTTACAGGGTTTAGGGTTTGGGTTTATCGGGTAGTAGGGTTTAGGGTTGAGTTTTTTGGGGTTTAGGGCTTATAGGGTTCAGGGTTTTAGGGCTCTAGGGTTTTAGGGGTTTAGGCTTTAGGGTTGAGGGTTTGGGGTTTAGGGTTGAGGGTTGAGGTGGGCTGAGTGTTTGGTGGCCCCTAAACCCTAAACCCGGTAGTAAGCTTCCGTAGCATTCCTGCTACAGGAGCAGTGCATACTTAAAGGATCATGGAAAGGATCATGGGACTTAGTAACTGAGGTTATAAATAGATATCGGTTTAGGGTTTAGGGTTTAGGGGTTTAAATTTTAGGGTTAAATAAGGTAGCTGTACTTATAATTACGTATAACCCCGACTAAGGTACCTATAACCCTAGCTACTAAGTCCCAAGATCCTCCATGTGACTACCTTGAATGGGTTGCGGCAAGGAGCTGCCCCGTCATTCCCGACAGCAAACAGTGAGCAAGAGTCGTGTTGGGTTGAAGGTTTCTATGTCTAGTTCAGGGCTAGGGTTACCTTAGGTTTAGGGTTTAGGGTTTAGGGTTTAGGGTTTAGGGGTTTAAGGTTTAGGGGTTTAGGGTTTAGGGTTTAGGGTATGGGTACGCTGGCGCAGAGCAGAGTAACCTCAACTGTGGGGGTGCTTACCAGGCGATTTCAGCCACTCATGCCAACTGGCTATAGTTCTAAGCACACACACACACCAAACAAAAGCAATCACCCGCCCCGTGTGCACACAACCAATCAAGCCAATGGCACTAGCACATCCCACACTCAGAGACGCAAGGAAACAATAAACTCTGACCCGTAAGCCCGAAACCCACAACCCCAACCGCTTACCCGCGCAGCCTGCACCCCAAACTCTGAACCCTAACCCCCAAAACCCTAAAGCCCTAACCCCCAAAACACCAAAAAAATGAACACAAAAGACAAAACCAAACAAAAAGCACCAAACCCGTAAAAGACAACACTAAACAAAATAGACAAAACTAAACAAACAAGCCCCCAAACGGCCCAAAACCCGTTAAACAAAAGACAAAACTAAACCAAAAGCCCAAAACCCCTTAAACAAAGAAGACAAAAGCAAACAAAAGCAAGAACCTTGCCCAGGTGTCGTACCTCGCTCATGAGATGAGGCAGCTGAATGGCGTTCACAGGGTTGCAGGGCTTTGGGTTTAGGTAGTTTTGTGTTGTGTTTGCTTATATATATACACACATATGTTCCAACTTAGTATATTTCTATCATGTGTATATATATATATACATACACAGACATACACATGCACACACACACACACATAGATATATATATATATATATATGTATATTCACATATACTTGCGTTTGGTTAGGGTGATTTTT